TCACATTAAGCTCAACTGACAAGTGGGCTGAGAAACAACTGAGGATCAATATCAAGGAAAGCTGTAGACAAACAAAAACTTTCTAAAAATATCTTCATATGCTGTTGAAATCATTCCGAGAACCACGAGCTGCTATACATTTCCTAACTTGGGAAATTTGGCATTCATCAGTCTTAACAATTAAGCCTTTCATTTTGAATTTCAACAAATTAGTCAATTGATGAATTGATTTTTTTTTTTTTGGCCAAGCAAACAGTTTGCTCCCCTCTTTGTAAGTGGAGTCCTGGGTAACCCAGCCCTCCCCCTTTGTCAGCTTCACAGAGGGGAGTTGGGCACAGCACAGACACATCGGGTTTGCACTCCCTGTAGAGCCCAGCTATGGACCTCCCAGTCCTACAGTTAATAGATGCCAACTAAAGAAACTTTGCCTCTAGTTGTCTGCTTTACCTGTAAGTGCTAAACAGGCTGGAGAAAAATGAAATGTTTGCTCAATATTATTCTGCAATATTTTACAAGAAAATGAAATGAGGAGCTCATGGATTTTAATCCAAGCCAAGGTCAAGATAATAACTGAATTCCTTCCTTAATCTACCCTGAGAGGACTCAAACACTGCTCTATGCCCAGAAATGCTTAGTAGAGTCTTATTTAAAGTTATAGTCTCTTTTCGATAATTCTACTAGTCAATTAGCTTCAGGTCTAATGCATGGTTTGGTACATCTACTAACATTTTCCTTCAGTAGTTTGTTTACTTAGGTGTTTTAGAACTTGTTATCAATATTTTTTGTACTCCAGAGAACATGTACTTGGTTTCCAATGGAATCTCAACCAAGTTGTACTACTTATAAACTTGTAGAATCCCAGATCGCTCAGGCAGGTTAAAGCTGTTGCCTGGCGAGACCTGCAGGGAAGATGAGATGCAGCAGAGATGCACTGAGCTCAGGGCACAGCCTATCTCTAGCTTTCCCCTGTTCCTCTGAGGCAGTTGCTCCTCTGCACCTGCCTCTACACCAAAGGAGCCCAGCCAACATTCTTCAACTGCAGATCTCATTAAAGATTATAGGGACTTCCCGCCTCTTGCATAGCTGTAGGTAACCTGGCAATAACTGAAAACTGCTACAACATCTTCATAATATTGGATCCAAACCCTAATTTTTCTTAACACTTTCCTTCCTAGGCTGCTCTCCCAGACTCCCCAGAGCCCTTTAGATCCCAGTGGACCACAGTGCCATCTTGTGGCCAATAAGTGAAGTTTCACCATTGTTTCTTCTGCAATGGCCCAAGGAATGCTGGGAAGTGTCTACAGAGTGAGCTGCCAGAATATTCCAGAGGTGTCATCCTGCAGGTTTTATGAGCAGCTTCCCTAAACCCTCATCCCAACACTAGTTCTAACCCTGATTATTGCTTCCAGTTACCAGTCTTAATATCCCACTCTCATTCTGAATAATTCTTATCACATAGCTCCAGTTATACTCTTAACTTTTTATCCCTTAAAACTACCATCTAAAGAAAGAGGAACAGAATGAGAGGAATGAAGGGAAATAATATTTGGTTTAAAATAGGAAGAAAACACAGACGTTGAAATATAAAGAGATTATTTAATCTGAATCACTAAAGATAAACAAAAATGTCTTCCAAAAATGACAATGCTACCCCAAAAGCATAGATGAGCAAATGATGAAGTCAAATGTCTATTAATAAAAAGTAAAATTGAAATATATAAAACGAGACCTCTTACAAGGCAATAAGCAATGGTGAAGGAGCCGTACTTAATGTACAAAATAAGGATGGACATAAGTAAAACCAGCAGAGGGGCTGCTACAGGAAATGATCAACTTGTGCACATCCACTGATGTGAGCACCAAAGAGGGAAGAGGTGATTCTGAAAGAAGCACAGGAGCAGCGGGAGATGAGGACACGCTGGTGCAAAATACTATGATAAGGAAGCAAATCAGCCAGGGGACTGTGGATTAGATGACTTTGCTTTCTCCTGTCTCCTGTGACAACTGAACTACACCATTTTCCTTTCCAAGGATTTGCTGCTGCACCCTGAATTAGATGGCCCTGGGATTTGCTCCTCCTCAGGTTCCCATGGATGAACTCACTCTTCCTCCTTGTTGAGCACAGTCTGCCTCCCCTTCAATCCCACAGTACTGGGGATTCAGACAGACTTCTCAATCGGCATCGACCTCTCTCATGGCATGCTCCCACACCCGCTAACTGTGCCTTTTCATTTCCACTAGACTGAAAGTTAGCTGTGGGCAATGAAACTTAACACCTTTATCATAGGATGTACAAGTGACTGCTTTCAAAATTATTGCTGTTTCTTTCACTGCCTTGGCTTATATCTGAACAGGAAAAAAAGGCACAATTTCTTAATGTGACTTAACCACAAAAACCTTCCTAAGTGCCAAAAACAATATAGCTACCAAGGGATTGCACTCCTCATTGGTGAAATGGCAAAATAAAAAAAGAAAGAAAGCTTTGTCGAATACTATAAAGGAGACCCAGAATTCCAGTCTCTCTTATATAAACATCATTCCATGGCCTCCATCTAACTAAGAGACAGACAGAGCCATTCCTGTGCCCTGCACCTGGCAGAAAAGTCCTGCTGGAGTCTGTGGGGAGCTGGCGAGGATGAGCCTTGGTGATTCTGCCCCCAGAGCAGAGATACTCAGGGAACTCTGGACAACGTCCAGGGACTGAGATGGAGAGTGGCCATACTCCTCTTGGAGAGGAGAATACTTAGGGTGTGATCCTTCTGACCTCTCAGCCTAAAGTAAAAGCAGAGTCATTCCTGACTGAGGTGGAGCTGCTTAGTTTCCAAAGCAAAATAGTCCTTGTTACAGAGTCTGTCCTTGCCACAGAAGAATAGTGGGGCTGTACGTGGTTCACAACCCCGAGATGCTGGTTGCCTATCTCTGTTCCCAATGATTCCAGAATCTGAATATTCCATGCGAGGAATGATAACTTGTAAATAATGAACTGGTTCAGTGGTACCTTTAGTTACATTCAAAATAGTTGTCATGTTCCAGACTGGCATGCTTGAGCAAGAGAATTTGGAGGCTGAATAGAAATAGGAACAATTGAGGCCCCAGTAGATGATGGCATCCAAGAACAAGAGTAGAGGGGAGGTGAATTCAGAGCCCTTTTGGCCCCACAAGACATGGCATAACAGGGACATCAGAAAATACTCCAGTGATGTGCTGCTAAACTGGGTGTCTGTGAAGGTGGGGGCATGGCTGGTAGCATTTGCTAATTTCTGTGGTACCAGCATTCCCACCATGGCAGATTTCAAGCGGCCAACATGGCTTCACTGCTGGGGAGCTGGGAAGAGTATGCCTATTTGGCTCTTCTGAGTTATTCAAGCTGAGTCCAGCACATCCCTAGACTCAAGAGCAAAGCTTTCAAAGTGCTTCAATGCTTCCTACTCAACACCCTAAAAATGAAGCAACAGCAACTATAGCACACCTCCTTATTTTCATGATAGGAGCAGAGTGTGTGATCTGGGGTCTTGGAATGAACAAAGGGACGTTTGTGCAGAGAAAGGATTTCTGAGTCCTTTGAAGCTGCTGAGATCACAGAGCAAAGAGTTATGCTGGTTGGTTGCAGAGGTGCCAGCCTTTGACTTCAAGTAATTGCAATGAAATGTTTCTCCTCCTTAACTTAACACAACAGAATGATTTCATCCAAGCAGAATCCCTATTCCTTCCTATTTGTTCCTTAGTAACATCTTCCCTTTGCTCCTCTTGCATGTTCGTTCTCAGTATAAATTGGAAGCCCTGCTCACTTTTGTTTCATGTTCTTGCAGCACCGTTTAAAACTGTGGACTAAACTGTTCAGCCTCAGTGTCAGAGCTTGTCCACTGTTAGGACCAGGTGTCTCAGGAGTCACGTGGAGGAAGGTGGCAGCAGTTACAGAGAAGGTCTACGAAGGCAAGGAATTCCCATCAGTGCCCTGGACTTACTCAGTCCCAAGAGACACAGGGCACCTGAGCAAGGAGTGTTTTCATGATGGCACAATAAAAAAGTGGGTCCAGAGCAACTCCCTACCAGAGACCATGATTCTCTGGGGAAAGAAATTTGGTGTCTGTACCACGACGATTTCTGATCAGTGACTTCAGGAAGGCAATGATGCCCCTCCTAGCTATGAAAGATTCAGGGCACCTCTCTCAGGGTTGCATCTGGGACACTGATCCCAGACTTGGAGAAGTGGTCTGTCGCCGAGGACTCTCAGAAATCCATGATCCGTAATCACATGAGCTCTGACCAGTGCGTTCGATTTCATAGATACAAACTGCAGCATCACCCACAGACAGGTGGAAGATTCTATTGCAATATAATCATTGTACATTTATTTATAACAACTACTGTATAACAATATATAACATGAAAAATAAAAAGGAACACAATCAATATTATAAATAAAACACTTCTTGAGTTAAAGGACTCAGGAAAATTATTTCAAATCAGAAGAGTAGGACAACAATGAAAACACTCAGAGTCTAGAAATTAGATTTCCTGAGGAAATCAAGGTGAACGGGCAGTGGTGAATGCATGCTTCTGTCTATCAGGACAGCAGCAATGGCAAATGGAAACAAAATAAAAGATACACGTGGCTTAAAGTAGGCAGAAGAAATGCAGTCTTATTGTTACCATAATTGTATTTATCAATAAGGACCACAAATTTGCAAAGACCTGTATTTTAAACAGGAAGAGAGGTTTGATATTTTGCTGCAGAAACTTCCAAGGTGACAGGAATAGAAGAGACTTCAGAAGAAAGATGTTCCTGGGGATGCAGCCTCAGACCTTCCAGATGCCCCAACATATGCAGAAGAGGCATGTTTCCTGCTTTTGACAACCTCAAGTATGTAGGCAGCACCGCAGCCTCCAAGACCTATAGAAGATGCATGTCTGCCCTGAAGGCCGAGGCTAAGACACCCACTCCTTGCTTGAAGAAGTGAGCTGGTTCCGAGGACTCCTAGAGTGCAGTGGACCGTGATTGTTTTCACCACTTACATTTGTAGTCACTGTGTTTCAGGAATGAATCTGTGGTCTCTTTCTACCCAAAGGACAGCCGATGTCCAAATCTACTCCTTTCCCATGAAAAGTAAGGAAGAAAGAGAGGCCTCTACTAAGGGTCTCTAGTAGCTGCAAGGAGAGAGAAGGACGAGGTTTGTGAACAGGAAGGAGGTGACCGTGCCACGCTGTGGCTAAGCTGCTGGCACAGAGATACACGGCTGAGTCCCCCTGTTCTGTGCGCTGGATCTTCAGAGTAGAGATGGATCCCTCAGGCCTCTCTGCAGAGAACCGATCATTGGGCAGCCCTGATTTGTCTAGTTGAGCATCATTCTGGAAGTAAGTCAGAAACGCTGGGCCCTGCCCAGGGGCCTGTTGGTACCAGTAAAGGTAATCATGACCCGAAATTGGATCACACCTGAGAGCTACATCCTGTCCCCTCTTCGTGACTTTGTACCTTGGGGACTGCGAGACTCCAGCACCTGTGTGATCTGTGGAAGTAGAATTTGGCAACAGAATAAGGAAAACATTTATAGTCATCACACACACACACACACTCACACACACGTACACGCCGATACACAGGAAGAAAATGAAACTACTTGGTGTTCTGAGGACTCACCTGTCCCTAGGAAACCCAGGACCATCCAGCAGAGGAGCCTGGTGCCCATGGCAGGGTCAGACCAGGACGGGGGCGTTACCAGATCAGTGTCACTGTGAGCAGGAGCAGAGGATGACAGATGTCCTTGTCCCCACAGGGCAGTTCCCACAGTGACATCACTTCCTCTCTCAATCCCCAGAACCTCAGGGTCACAGCATTTATATTAGAACACACTTGGGTGACGCCTTAAATATTTATAACCTTCTTTTTTAACATCAATGCATGGCTCATCGCTTTGGACTCCAGAGCTGTCTGTACCCGAAGGCCTCACGCTGCATCTCTGATTTCATCTTCTCATCCCACAGCTGCTCCTCTGTCTGCTGGTCATGTCCTGTAGGATGAACCAACACTGCCCCCAACATAGGGCACAAAGGGGTGAGCTCATTGTCTTTCCTCCAAGTCAGGGTCCCCTCTGCCATCCCCTTTCATGCCCTAGCCTCCTCCATTCCCCCAGTCACACGTGCCCAACAGGGCTGCCCCATCACATGGGTTCCCTCACAAACTGCCCTCATGCCTTTCTTCTGGGATCATTTCCCACCCTCGTTAACTGTCATTCAGAAAAGGTACCTTGATAGAAACTCACAGCAGTCTTTTTTCATATTCCACTTATAAAAGTTGTTTTTAATCAATGTCATCTTAAAAGAAGGAGAATGACAATTGAGCTAATGGTTATTTTTAACCACTATCTTGACTTACTCTTGTTCTCCATCTAACCCTGTGGGCGGTATTTCTCTTTTTTTCTGGTTGCTTTCAAAATCTTCTCTTGGTCCCTCAGGTTCTACAATTTCCCTATGACTTGACTATTTGTCTTATTTGAGATTCATTTTGATCCTGGAAACTCTGAATTTGGGTCCTGAACACCTCTAAAGAATTGTCAGCTAACATCTCATAAATATCACCTCATAACATTCTACCTATCTACCTGTTTGAAACTGCAATTGTATGCAAGAAAAAATGGGAATTTATGAAAAATATGCGTATTCTAATATATGGGAAACATCCATTTTTTTCCCCCCTGTTCTTTAACTTTTCATAGTTCACTTTTAATTTTCTGTGCTGCATTCTAGATGACTCCTGGAGATCCATCTTTGACATCACTAAAAATCTCTTTAGGAGGTGCCGATCAACTGCTTGACTTTTCATTTTGTTTTCGGTGAGTGTGTGAGGCATTCCTAGATACATTATTTGACAATTTTTATGAAAGTTGCTTGATGGTTTCAGACATTCTCTTTTTCCTTGTTTCAGTTCTCCCTCATGTTCATTTAAATGTAGCTCTCCAAACTTTCATATCTTATAATGCCAAAATTTCCAGTCTTTGGGTTTGCATTTCAATCTTTTGTTGCATGTGCTCACATTTCCTCATTGCTATCTCCTAATATTCTTCTTACTGGGAATCTGTTTGTTCGATGGTAGTCTGTGACATTCCAGAGAGGCCTGGACTGACAGTGAACAACACCAAGAGTCTGTCATGTTTACAGGCATCTCCAGTCTAACTCGCAAAGGTACAGGCCCAAGAACTGTCTGCTGCACTCTGGGCTGCTATATACACCCACGACATAGGTTGGTAGAGTCAGAAATGCTCTCTGGACAGTCCCAACAAAAGATTCAGAATAGAATTCAACTTTTCTAATTTTTTAAAATAAATCTCATACACATATAGACCCTTTGGGTGGAGGGAGATATCCGGCACAGGATTAAAAGAAAAGTTAGTAGCCAGCGTCTCTGGAACATCTACATACAAACTGTGTCCACATTCCCCTGGGCAGCACAGGTGTCCACGGAGAAGAGTCCAGGGACTGCGGCAGGTTGAGGCAGTTGTGTGATCCAATGCCTTAATCTCCGTCCTGTGCTGGACTGTGTTAAGTCAACTTTGCAAAGGCAAGAGCCTGCCTTTCCCAGAATGCCATTTCTCTTACCATTCAGTGTTACAGATGGTCAAGGTACATTTCGTAAAATTTGGAAGACAGATGAAAAGCAGTCACTATTATTATATTTGGCAGGTCATTGTGGTCAGACAATGAGAGACAGTGACCAGAGGATACAGAGGCATCCAACAGACCTAGGAAGTCCTGTTCCTTCTGCACCCTGTATCCAGTTCATCTTCCCAAATGCTGGCCAACAGCAGCCAGGCTGCCCCCAGTGTTTGCAAGTAAACCTGCAGGGGTGGGCCCCATACAGTGGGTACAGCTTCCCCAGAAGAAGGTTTCCCTGGACTTTTCCTGTGCTCCCGGCTCAAGGTGCCACTGCATGGCCTGGCATGCTCTCATCCTCTCATGTTCCTGCCGCTCAGGCCTGTCCTGCCCAGACCTCCAGAAGCCCTAGCTACTGACTGGCTCCCTCAGCTTCTGACTTCTCTCCTCCAGACCTTCTTTTCCTCAGCTCCTCCCACATATGCATAAAGTCTAATTCTGATCATAAATCTGTTACACTCTCAAACTTGTAGTAGCCCTGTTTTATTGATGCAAACCTAATGGTGATTTTCTTACCAGAAGTGATTTCAAGGAACAACCTTTAAGGATGGAATTCTAGAGGTAGATCTCTGATCCGTCTCGATTTGTTGTGGGGAAAGACCCTGAAGGAGAGCACAGAGACCTGGAGGAGGTCAGGTGCTGTAGCCACAAGAGGAAGCCTTGACCCAGGTGTGGACGCCAGGATAGTGATTCCCCATCAATTTCCAAGACCGACCTGAGTCCAGCAATCAAAGGGGTGGGATTTGTTGTACTTAATGCTAGATCTCTGCCAGGTTGCAGTAGATGTAGCATGTTTTTATTATTGGTTCATCCACCCACTCATCACTCACTCAGCCTGTCATCCACTCATCCATTCTTTGTGAAATGGTTCTCCCTACATGCCAGACACCAATGTTGGTAAAAGCAGCAGGCACAGCCTCAGCTCCCATGGGCTTAAAAATTAGGTGGAGTTAAAAAATAACCAGATAAGTATCTGAAAAAGCCCAACTGTGCTAAAGGTTACTAACAGACACATGAGTCTATGAAAGCTTATGAGAGGAAAGTTGATCTCAGCTGGGAGGGGAGGGAGTGCTTCCCACAAGAGGGGCTGATTGCGCTGCGATCTGGAGGACAGGTAGGAGCTGGCCACTGCGGAAAGGAAGCCTACAGCCAAGTGCGGAGGAAATGGGCTTTGAAGTCTCTGTGATAGGAATGAAGGAGGCACAGGAGAGGCTCCCCTCATGGCTGCAGTAGAGAGCGGCAGGGAGGTGGGGGGAGGAGAGACCCAGCAAGGCCTTGGAGGGTGACTGCCCAGATGGGAAAGGTGGGCCACAAGAGAGACAATGTGAGGGTGGGGGCTGGGGGAAACCCTAGAGAGAGGAAGCAATAAGGTCACCAGAGAGAGACGGGAGTCTAGATGGATCTGAAATACACATCCTGTTTTATCCAGGTGGCCTCGGACTCAGGATAATGAGTAGAAAAGTAGGAGCTGGGGAAGCCCTCACCCCACCCCAAAAGGAGAGCTCTGAGAAAAGAACAGACAGAGCAACAAAGGAGACATCTGAGGACCTGGGACCAGTACAGGCCTGGCTGAGACTGCCTGCAGAGGCACCTGGCACAGAGCGAGGCTCATACTGCCTGGGCCACTTGGGGTCATTCGGGGTTCCAAGGACTCTGGTGTAGAGAACTCTGCCCAGGGCATCCCTGAGTCTTGGGTGAGGGAGGAGGGCAGAGCCTGCCTGGCTTTATGTGCAGAGAGGAGGCAGCCTTGTAACGCTGTGGAGTAACTGCTGGCACAGAAGTACACAGATGTCTGGGAGGGAGCAGCCGACTCCAGTCTGAGTGGGAAATCCTCTGTGTTTGATCTGGTGACATTGTAGCCATCGGGGACTTCTCCTTTGTCAGTGCTACCTTCACCAACTGAGTAATGAATCAGCCTCAGCCCCATGCCTGGGTCTTGTCGATACCAGTACATGCAGTCATGGTTCATATCCTGGGCACACTGCAGTGTCATGCTCTGTCCTGTTTTCAGGATCTGGAATTTTGGGGTCTGAGTGACACCAGCATTCACTGGACCTGCAGAGAAGGAGAACAAAGCTGATGCTGCAGCCCTAGTGGGAAGGCACTGAGCCTTGAAAGCCACACAAGGGGCCCTGCCCAGGACCCACCTGCCCACAGGAGACAAAAGGCTGCACAGCACAGGATGCCGATGCTCATGGTAGATGCTGCATGACGGAGGGGTCTTCTGGGTCTGTGCATTGATGAAACGGGAACAGGACTCTCAAGGGAGTCATTCTGAGACCTCATTCTCCCTGCCTGGGCCCCAGGGAGGGAGAGGCCAGGAGAGGCCACGCCTCTTCCCCAGATGGTCAAATCCAAAATAAATGCACCAGTGAACAGCTGAGAATGAGAAGAACACATATGTCTGAATTGAAACAAGTCTGTAAGATTTTCATGACCTTTTGTACACAGTTTGTAACTCAATGTAAATTTTATTTCTTCAATGATATAATTAACATTCTAGTGTTAGTTATCTACATAATACTGTAGTCTAGAGTCTTAGGGAAACTCCTCACGTCTTCCTGGTGTTTTTGACTCCTGTGTCCCAAATACTCCTTCAAGTATCCTTTTCTAATTTGCTTAATTGACCATAATCCTGTTTAAAATCCTTTGTCTATATGGGTTTTCTCTGTTTTCAAGTTTCCAAATCCCAGGGGCAGGCTCATCAACATTGGAGGAGTCGTTTTGCTCTGTTCCTTGTCAATTCACTGACAGATGGGACTCCTGACAAACCCAGCTGAGCACCTTCAGCTCCACCCAGGGCCCTTCATTTCCATGCCTGGGGTGAGATCACAGCAGGCAGAACCACCTCACACTGCTGACTACCTTCTATGTGTGGACGATGGTGGCCACCCAGCACTGCCCATGACCTGTGGACACAAAGGTGGCCTTATGCATGAGGGACTCAGGGAGAGAGGGCAGACTTTAGGGTAAGGAAGAGTGCTCTGTTTTAATTTGAGTTGTCATGTTTCATAGGGGGTATCCCTTTGTGCAGGATTCCTGCCATTAATTTAGTAATAAATTAAAAGGAGCTCAAATAACATATCTTGG